TTGGTAACACTTTACAATAAGGTTCATTAGTTAAACATTAGTTAATGTATTAACTAACATGAACTAACCATGAGCAATACATTTGTTACTGTATTTACTAATCTACGCTAACGTTAGTTAATAAAAATACAGATGTTCATTGTTAGTTCATGTTAGTTCACAGTGCATTAACTAATGTTAACAAGATTTTAATAATGTATTAGTAAATGTTGAAATTAACATTAACAAAGATTAATAAACGCTGTATAAGTGCAGTTCATTATTAGTTCATGTTAACTAATGTAGTTAACTAATGAACCTTATTGTAAAGTGTTACCTTTTTATTTCAGTTTTAGTAATTTTAATATTTCAGCTTATTTAATTTCAGTTAGTTGCCAAAGCATTTTTCAATTTGTATTAATTTAATTTATTATTTATTATCTTATTTGTTGTTTTAATTTTCAAGGTTTTTTTAATTTTAAGGTTTTATTTGATTGATTTTATGTTTTGTTTCAGCTTTATTTCATTTAACGAAAACTATATAAACTTAGACACTGAATAAAAAAAATCTATATTTAGCAGTCATTAACAACATTTCAATATTGAAGCCTCTACCATTTCAGTAACTTTATGCCTTTTGTCTTTTTATTTTTTTATATTTCTATTTTGCTTTATTTTTATTTCAATTTTTAGTCATTTGAGTACTTAAGCTTATTTCAGCTAGTTGCCACGGTATTTTTCAATTTTTTATACATTTTATTTATTATATTTTATGATTTTATTTACTTTTTATTTTTCAAAGTTTTTTAATTTGAAGGTTTTGATTGATTTTATGTTTTGTTTCAGCTTTATTTCATTTAACGAAAGCTATATGAACTTAGACATTGAATAAAAAATTAATATTTAGTAGTCACTAACGACATCTAAACAAGCCTCTACCATTTCAGTTGTTTGCTGGTAACAGAAGTCTCTTTTTTTTCAAAGTTGGAACCTTGTAATTACGGTAATTCCTGTTGCATTATTCTTATTATTTATTTATTTAGTTTATTTTTTTTTTTTTACAGCTATTGTGATTAAAAACAATAGGTGTGAAAAGGCATTACTACCTAGCTGACCATTTGTATTTATAAATATTGTAATATTATAATTTTGGTAAATATAAATATTGTTGAAACATTTTTTTAAAGGGGTCCTATTATACTTTTTCACTTTTTGAATTTTAGTCAGTGTGTAGTGTGTATGTTTGGGCTTGAAAAAAGATCTACAACATTACAAATCTTCAAAGTCCACTCCAAAGGGAGATATTTCGTTTAAAAAAATCCCTTTTCAAGAACTACAACAAACGGCTCGTTTGGACTACAGCGTTTGTTTTCCGGGTTTTATGATGTCATAAAGCGGCCCATTAGAGTATCATTAAAATAAATCCCGCCTACAGAAATTCGAATGGTTGGGGCGAGGGCGTGGTGAGAACGCTTGGTTGAGTGCATCAGACAAGACGACGACGAAGAAGAAGTGCTGCTGTAGCGTCAGGTTTTCGCAAGTTATTACACATGCACCTGAATAATTATCTATGTTACAATTATGAAAACGTTTTTTTAAATCGCTCACAGTACAATACTGGAAAATTATGTAATCTGCAGAATTTACACTTCAATTATAAGACTTATGGTATAAATAAATTCAACTGTATAACAGTTTCACTGCAATTCATGTTATAATGTTAGAATTAAAGAACAATAAGCATAAGACATATTGCAGTTGCACTTATCTGTACATAGTAAATGCAGTTATTTTTAAGCGGTTGTTGACATTCTATCTAAAACGTGATTTAGCCAAAAAAAACAACAATAACATTACCACTCTAATATGTCTTGCAATATCCGTGCGTGCAAAGGTTCTGCACAATCCTCTTGTTCAATATTCTCTGGATCTGAATCCGGCTCAAATTGGTATGGCAATATTGACGCCATCCTTGACTATACCGGAGCAGACGGAACTCGCTGCTTTGGCAAGGGGCGGGGCAGTGCTGAAACACCGTCTAAGCTGTTCGCCAATCACAACGCACTGGGACAGCTAACCAATCACAAAACATTTCGTTTTTCGGAAGGTGGGCCTTCATCAAAGTCAGAACTAATCGAGCCGTTTGTGCCAGGCTGGGGAGAAAGGTATTGTAATAATGTAAATGATGTGAAAAAGCATGAGAGCATGTTCTAGTACACCCCCAAAACAAAATCAAGACTTTGTAAAGGAACATAATAGGACCCTTTTAAAATCCAAATGAATACAAAAACTAACCCTGTGCCGATTCAGTCACCTTGGAAAAAGGTTTTATTTTGTTCTAAAGTGCGACGTTGTTAATGTAAAAGGCTTCGTTGCTGTTTCTGCCTGCATGGCGCTTTTTAATTAGAGCGGGACACTTAAAGCACACTCCAGCGAGAGCAATTACACCTGCCTGTGCTCAGAGCGCTTGACAATACTGCTTCACTCTCCAGCTCTCACAGGCCCACACCACAGAGACTCACCACGATCAAAACGGCTTTTTAATGAGGATTTCAATCTTTCGCTGGAAAGCTGGACAGCAGAGACTGTGTAATGAGAGCAAAAATGCTGTTTTTTGTTGTTTAGATGCACTTCAGAATCTCGTGGGGCAGCAGAACGCCAGATACGGGATCATCAGGATCTTTAATGCACTTCAGGAGACCAGTGCCAACAGACACCTTCTCTACGTAAGTCACCCAGCGCTCTGGGACTGACCGTTAACCTTGCTCCAGTTTATTTATATCTCAGGCTTTCACTTTCAGTCAGCGGATGTTCTCGTTTCTGCTTTCTGTTGAAATACTCTCATGACACGACAGATTTACATCTTTCACAGGGAAAGTGGCAGGAATGAACCTGAATGGAGTGTCACTCAAGCTGTTTTTTTAACCCTCAAATAAAGGGTTTTTAAAGTGCCCCTATTATGGGTAATGAAAAGTTCATATTTTGGTTTGTGGGAGTCCCCAACAACAGGTTGACAAGCATGCAAGGCCAAAAAACACTTTCATTGTCTTGCAATATGCATTAATTTTTACCTTACTTGCTCAAGGACTCCCAAACGATTCGCTCAACGATTAATTTTTCCAAACCCCTCCTTTGCGTGACGCTAATCTGCGGTGATTGGTCCGATTGGTCTCATTTTCATTTCATAATGCCTGCAATGCCTGATAAAGCAGCGTTTGTGAGCGCAGTGCTGCTTTGTGTACAGCGTTTCCAGAGAAACCGCTATTTTTACAGCTACAAAAGTGGCACCTAGTGGCAACGAATGAATTTGCATTTTCATTCAGACCAAAGCGAAAAGACCAACAAGTGGGTGGGCAATATGCTAATGTTTCATGTTGACATCAACATGAAACGGCTTGGGATTCGTTTTAAAAACGACTCGTTTCAATGATTCAGAGTCGACTCTTTCTTTTGAGAGACAATAACTTTATACACGGTGCACTTTCAGATTTAAAACTTTGCAGGATGCTTTCATTCACTTAGAGCTGTGTTACACGCTGCATGAAAGGTCATTTTCAAAAATCCATAATAGGGGCACTTTAAGCCATGAACCAAACCAACACTACAAACTTGATAAAGTATTTGAAAATTGGGAAACAAAACAGAAAGATACTAAATACAAGACCTCAATTACTTTAGTATACCTCAATTCTTTTATCCCATGTGGCATTAAAATATATTTAAACGTATATTATATTAATATTTAGCGATATATTTTATATGTATTTTTTATGTTATTTGTTAAATGTATTATTATATCTCTATATATTCTATTATTTATTTAAATATTTTATTTACATTTATTTTAATAACATTTAATATATTTTAGGACAATTCTGAACAACATATACATATATCATGTTCTGAATTGTCCTGAAATATATTAAATATGTTTTTGAATTATTTTTTATTATTAATTTTTTCAAATATGCAAGGACACTCAGTTATGTGTTTTTATGTTTCATTAAAATAAAATTTTGCTATGGAGAAAATTAAAGGGACGTTAACTTGTGGAAGCCAGCTGTTTTATTCTAATTGACTGTGAATATGCCACATTTTTAAGCTACATTTTAAACTAAATTAAATTAAAATTGGTTTTAAAATATATAGCTTTAACATAGATGCCTAATTTTGCTATGATCCAGTTTTCCAGGCTCATAGTTTTACGTGATAATACTGTAGTACCATCTAAAGGTGAAACGATGATTATACACTGAGTGTGCATGAAGTTTTCTCTGTTTCTCCTCAGATCTTGTTGGAGATGCTGCTTAAAGAACTCTATCCCGAGCTGAGCGTGGAGGCCGTACAGGCCTGAACATCCTCACGTCACATCAGAGGCTCAGGATGTGTTTCTCTAATGTGCTGGATGGCTGTTTTTGGTGTTATTTATTTTTTTTGTTCTGTTGTTTTATTTCTAAAACACTTGACTGACTCTGTAGTGCTGGATCTGGGAAGCGTCATGAATATGTTTGTGTTTTAATCCGTTGATGTGTTTCTCTCTGGTGAGATTTGGAGGAACGGACCACATCCACTGCCAGCTGTCATCTTCAGCTTTTCTTTCTCTCTTTTGTTTTCTTCTAGGGGGTTTTGCTGTGTAATGTGAAGAACAGTGGAATGAGTGTTACACATCTGTAAAAAGAAGAACCCAGACCTCTGTAAACTCCCTACATATTATTGTGACCATTATGAAAGCTTTTAATCGTGCAATATGTCATGTACAGTTATTGTGAAGGTTCTGTTTGTGATATTATTATTAATATTGTTATTATTATAGAATTTTATTTTTACCAAAATAGACTAGAGCATTTATAAGCAATAAAATGCAGAAGAAGATTTGCCATGTGTTGTGTCTTTAATATAATGTGATATTAAATGTATACATTAAAATGCAATTCATATTTTAAACTTTAATACAATTTCTTATAGTTTCAGTTGTTTTCATTTCATAGCTTTTCTTAGTTTCAATAGTTTTTCGTTTACAGTTTCTTAGTTTCAATATTGATTTATTTGACTTATTCAGTTTGCTTATATCTCAGGTAGGTGTAATTATACCTGTAGAAATTTCAAATAAAACATAAAAAGTAATTAATATCTTCTTTCTTTATTCATCAAAAATATCTAGTTGTTTTATGTCTGTAAAGATTTCAAAGACAACAATCTAAAAAAGTATTTCATATCTTTAATATTTCATATCAACTTTATATAGTTTTACAGTTTCAATCACAATTATTGATTAATTAATTCATTCTAGTTAGAAATCCCTAGTTAGTGTAATTATATAACATTTTGAAAGAAAAAACATTCATTTATTATTGATTTATTCTTCAAAATTATCTAGTTTGTGTAATTATATCTGTAAATATTTCAGACAAAAATATGAAGTATTTCATATCTTGAACTTTTATGTTTATTTATTTATTCATTAATTCTTCAAAAATATTTAGTATGTGTAATTATACCTGTAAATATTTCAAAAATCCCAAAAAGTAGTCATATACAGTAGTTATGACGTACAGAGAAAAAATATCGTTTATTCAAATGTGTATTGTTAAAATGGAATATTATAAATTTTTTAAAGTTTGTTGAAAATAATGTTTTTTTTTAATGTAAACTCGTATATTTAAGATGTAAGCAAAATTTCTCAAAATATTCTTGAATATAAAGATTACATTTCTTAGAAGCTGGCGCTTGCATTTTCAACTGCATTTTTAAAAAGATTTTCCTTTGCATCGTTCTTAAATGGCACTGAAGTAATACTAAACATTTTAATTCATCAGCATCCTAAAAAAGCAAAGAAAAAAAAAAACCTGAGTCAGATATACAGTTGTGCTCATAGGTTTACATACGCCTTGTAGAATGTGCAAAATGTTAATAATTGAAACAAAATAAGAGGGATCATGCAAATTGCATGTTATTTTTTGTTTGGTACTGTCCTGAATAAGCTATTTCTTGTAACAGATGTTGACATGCACTCCACAAGATAAAATAATAAATGAGTTGTGCTCATAGGTTTACATACGCCTTGTAGAATGTGCAAAATGTTAATAATTGAAACAAAATAAGAGGGATCATGAAAATTGCATGTTATTTTTTGTTTGGTACTGTCCTGAATAAGCTATTTCTTGTAACAGATGTTGACATGCACTCCACAAGATAAAATAATAAATTAATTTATAAAAATGACCACATTCAAAAGTTTTCATACCCTTGAATCTTAGTACTTTGTCGTTTCCTGGATGACCACGACTGTTTTTATATTTTGTGATAGTTGTTCATGAGTCCCTTGTTGGTCCTGAGCAGTTCAACTGCCTGCTGTTCTTCAGAAAAATCCCGCAGCTCCTGTACATTCTTTGGTTTTCCAGCATCTTTTGCATATTTGAACCCTTTCCAACAGTGACTATGATTTTGAGATCCATATTTTCACACCGAGGACAACTGAGGGACTCATATATAACTATTATATAAGGTGAAATCATTTACTGATGCTCAAGAAGGCAACACAGTGCATTAAGAGACAGGGGGTGTAAACTTTTGAACAAGATGATATGTACATTTTTCTTTTTTTTTGTTTAAAGATCATCTGCACTTAAGAAGCTACATAAATACTTAAATGTTTCCCAGAAGACAAAATAAGTACAATTTACCCTGATCATCCGATTCAAAAAGTTTACACCACCCAGCTCTTAATGCGCTGTGTTGCCTTCTTGAGCATCAGTAAATGTTTTCACCTTATATAATAGGTATGTATGAGTCCCCCAATTGTCCTTCTTGTGAAAAGATGGATCTCAAAAGCATACAGTCACTGTTGGAAAGGGTTCAAATATGCAGAAGATGCTGGAAAACCAAAGAATGTGCCGGAGCTGGAGGATTTTTCTGAAGAACAGCAGGCAGTTGAACTGCTCAGGACCAACAAGGGACTCGTGAACAACTATCACAAAACAGAAAGACAGTTTTGGATCATCCATGAAATGACACGCAGTATTAAGATAAAAAACTTTTGAATGGGGTCATTTTTTATAAATTCAGTTATTATTTTGTCTTGTGGAGAATATATAAACATCTGTTAAGTGAAATAGCTTATTCAAGATAGTATTAAATAAAAAATAACATGCCATTTTCATGATCCCTCTTATTTTGTTAAAATGATTAACATTTTCCATATTCTGCAAGGGATATGTAAACTTATGAGCACAACTGTATATCCATCAATTTCAGTGATGAGATTAAATGAGTGATTGCTGTTGCATGTGTGATTTATATCCTGCCGTGCACCACGTCCATTTGGAGCTCCTTGCAGATCTCTGGATCGATCCTGGCAGCCTGATGGAGGAAAAACGAGAAATCAAACTTAGATACCACTGGACCTCCAAATGTTACCCGCATCTTCTATTTTGCAAGTCCCAAACTTTTCCCACATTGCTTCTCAGTAGCAGTGCTTTTTACAGGTTCAATGTCAGAACTGGCATTATAATGGTAAGGTGGTCAACAGTACCTGTGTGAAGTAGCTCTTCACTCTGTCTCTGTTCTTCAGGACGCCTCGGCCCAGCTGAAGGCAGCGTGCGTAGTAAAACATGGCTATAGCGATGCCCTTCCTGATGTACTCCTCCAGACAGTCCGTGTGCCGTGCTATGGCACTGATGTCCTCGTATCCGGACACTCTGAGAGTCAAAACATACCCGTTTTTACCACAGAAAACAGAACGGTGTTCTTACCGGTTTCTGCAGGATGCGCTGTACCTCTCTCCCAGGGCGGCTGCTCTGGAGTAGAGCTTCCTGTGGTAGTAGCAGGCCGTCAGGTGACCCTGAGCGTAGACGTTTCCTCTCTCTGCCGCCTCCTTCAGGCAGAACAGGGCAGCGTCGGGGTCCTTCTGCACGCCGTGACCGTACAGATACATGACGCCCAGAGCGCCCTGAGACTCCAGACTGCCGTTACCACACGCCTCCGAGTGCCACGAGAACGCCTGCGGTACATCAACACATGACCAGACTGACTGAAGACAGAGACATTTAACACCAGTGCATTAGATTAGATCTCTGTTTCTCTGACTGATGATGATAATGATGATTTAAAGGGATAGTTCATCCAAAAAGGAAATTCTGTCATCATTTACTCACCCTCAAGTTGTTCCAAACCTGTATGACTTTCTTTGTTTTGTTGAACATAAAAGATAATTTGAAGAATGTTGGTAACATAAGTTGATTGTCCCCATTGACTTCCATGCTATATCTGTCTGTCTGTCTATCTGTCTATCTATCTATCTATCTATCTATCTATCTATCTATCTATCTATCTATCTATCTAGCTAACTATCTATCTAGCTATCTGTCTATCTGTCTATCTATCTGTCTGTCTGTCTATCTGTCTGTCTGTCTGTCTGTCTGTCTATCTGTCTATCTATCTATCTATCTATCTAGCTGTCTGTGTCTGTCTGTCTGTCTGTCTATCTGTCTGTCTGTCTGTCTATCTGTCTGTCTGTCTGTCTGTCTGTCTGTCTGTCTATCTATCTGTCTGTCTGTCTGTCTGTCTGTCTGTCTGTCTGTCTATCGTTCTATCAATCAATCAATCAATCAATCAATCTATCTATCTATCTATCTATCATCTATATATCTATCTATCTGTCTATCTGTCTGTCTGTCTGTCTGTCTGTCTGTCTGTCTTTCTATCAATCTATCTATCTGTCTATCCGTCCGCCAATCCATCCATCCGTCCATCCATATCCCATAATATGGAAGTCAATGGGGTCCATCAAGTGTTTGGTTAGTTACACAAAGTCTTCAAAATATATTTTATGTTCAACAGAAGAGAGAAACTCATACTCAAACTCAACTTGAGGGTGGGAAATTATGAAATTTTTGGGTGAACTATCAATTTCAGAAACAAGAATATATTTGAAGATTTTTTTTCTTGAAAGATGCATTATTGGACAGTAATGGTCATTGGCAGTTGTTTTAAAAGTGCTTTAGAAATAAGTTTGTATTTGTAATGACAGTAGGTCAAAAGTGGATTTGAGGGACCATGTGACACTAAAGACTGGAGTAATGATGTTGAAAATTCAGCTTTGCATCTCAGGAATAAATTACATTTGCAAAAATATTCAAAGATAAAACAGAGATTTTAAATTGTAATATTATTTGACAACATTAATGTTTTTACTGTATGTTTGGTCAAATAAATGCAGCCTTGGTGAGAATAAGAGAATAATAACTTCTTTTAAAAACATTTAAAAACCGTGAAATTATTTAAAATGTATTAATGGCAGTTTATAAAATATGCCATGCTTACTAAAGGATTGATCTATTAAAAATAAATGATAAAAAAGGAAAGAAAAAAAGATGTAGCTCATGCTCTAGTTAGCATTAGATATTTTGGTCTGTGTTATGAATTTTTCCTAACAATATGTTGCTTTTGTTAAGTCAACACTACAAGACAGAAAAGTAGGAAGAAAAAGTTTCTTCACTTAATTTTAAATAAGTTATTATAATTTTACTCTAAATATTATATTTATTATAATTCATATGTATTATTAATTTATTATAATTATTTAAATGTATTATAAAACATTTGTTTGTGTAGAAATTTAGTCATAGTGTCATTTTATAGGCCAACTTGGATGGCTAATTATGGGCTCCCTCAGGAATTTGCTATGGGTTTTTGTTTGGTGTATGAGTAGAATAAGGTCTGTGGTTAGCATTACTTAACTTCACATTCACATTTTTTTTTACAACATAAATTATACAAAGTCATACATCAAATGTGAACTCTGAAGCTGCTGTGTGCGTTTAAAAATATTTAAAAATTGCCATATGAGGACTATTGTGGTTCAGATTCATCAAGC